TTAAAGCACCCGTCTCTAGATGGTTGTGTAGTCAAAGATTGTTTCTTTGTTATTTTAAGATGGCAAACACCATAATATATAGGAGAAAAAAGATGAGAAAGCTCATAGATGAAAAAGACATCATATGTAAGACATTGGGAAAGAGAATGGGAACAAATAGAGTGAAGCGGGGAAGACAAAAGTTTTCCCTTGTTCAAAATTAGCTGAGAGAAGTACAAGAAGGGAGATGCTTTTCAGCTTTCTCCTACACATTCTGTGGCAAACAATTAGCGAAGTCACCATCTTAACTGGAAACTCTCGACATTTTGGGAGAAGGAGGATCAGTACACTGAATTGACAGAGAATCTGATCATTCTTTTCTAGAAACCCATTACGTTTAACGTGGGTCTCACTGCCAGTACCAAATTCCAAATGATTTCTCATGCACAGTATCAATGCATATCTGATACTTATGATGCAGGTTGGCAGTGTTACTTAGCATCACATGGATGCAGTTCAATTTAACTAGGTCCAGCATCTATGTAAATATTATCCTAATAATTTTTTCATATAAACTAGAAGCGTTGTTACAATTTTAACTGACTAATATTTTACTATAATTTAGTATTAAAACTTAAACATTTATACAAAACTATTTAATCACGTTAATTTTTCAAGCAATTTAGTTTTCAAGTTATTATAAAGACTTTTAGCAGCAGCTTTATTCTTGTCCACAGTACTGTGAAAAACAATCAATACATAGGTAATTTATTTTAATCATGAGCCAAATATATAAAATATTTTAAATATTTTATCAAATATTAAAAATATTTTATCAATCAACTCTTAATCTTATTGCTCTCTCCATGTGCACAGTAGCTGCTAAATGAAGAAAATAAGGTTTTCACGCTAATATTTTCTCTCAGGTGGAAATGCTACCACATTTCGCTCTGAAACAGTTTTGTACAATCACACAATGAGAATTAATCCTTGCAAAACTTCAGTCATCAAGATCTGTTTGAAGCTTGGCAACAACTTGGCAAGTAACTTTAGGACCAGGTAGACACTTTCTGAAAGAATGATGTAGAAAGTGATACATCTCAACCTTATTTAGATAAGTTGTCTTTTTCCTTTATTTGGTGCAATGAAATATGTGTCATAAAAATATTTTATTAAACAAGTTCTAGTTTTATGGATAAACATATGCTTATTCAGTAACCAGCCATCACAAAATGTTTGCTATTTCTATGTTACTGCACAGCATATCAGAACTACCAATGCACAACGTAAAATAGTTAAAAATATGGTTATGTGCCTGTAGTCAAAAGTATTAGCAAGTAATTTCTGCAGACACTGTGATTGAAAACCATATTACAAGATTGTCTAGTTGACAAATTACTCTCCAAATATATGGCAAGACTTTACCTTTTCCTCTTCTCTTTAAAGGGGAAGAAAGCAATTATGGTAGAAGTCAGGAACAAATTACTCTTTCCTGGAAGTTGCCGAATGCAGACTCAGAATCAGGTGCTTTGAATTTAATCAGTTCCAGGGAAAATGCTGGAATAAAATTATGTATCACAAACCCCCTCATCATCCTGATGCAGGGTAAAACATGAAATGGTTTGTGAGACTTTCTCCAGCACTAAACAATAATTCACTTTATCCTGAGGTTTCCTTCCCCACAGACACTGTTGTGCCCCAAGAAGAACCATGTCTTCTGGAGCAAGCTCCTGCAGGCAATCAAAGCTCTTGACAGCATTGACACATTTACTATTTTTGTATTTCTGTTCTTCAACATCTGCACCAATTGCTCACTTTGCTGCAACGTTCAGCTATTCAGATAACAGAATGTGTGATTTCATATCATTTTATATAAAGAAGACCTCAATAATTAACAATGACATATGGCATTTGCCCACTATATTGCATAAACTTGAGGAAACAATTTCTAGAGATGTATAGACATCTGATGAGAAATTTAAATTTAAGACTAGGTAAACTAGGTTTAGCTTGTGTTTTAAAAGTACTTACTGCAAGTAAAACAACTTACTGTTTTAAAGTGGGTATCAGCATCTCAGTCATGCTAAGAGTAACGCTATTTAGGCATACGTGTGTGTATAGACACTATGATATGCATATATATTCAACATGAATTTCAAATATTTTTTAATTTATATATTTAACCAAAACCCCAAAAGATGCACCTGTGGCCAGGTTTTGGCAGGAAAGAACCAGCTTCCACTGTAAGACATTTGAAATAAGCACACATATAGCCAGCAAATGTGAAACTATCTTACTTAACAGCTCGCTTGGCTGTGCATTTAAATCTGCTATCTGCCATGAAGAAATTCAACACATCATCAAATACGCTACTAGATCAGCACAAATGGCCGACTAGTAGAAGTCACAACTGAAAAATCACTACATGTATTATTCTTTCTATATAAAATTCTTTCCATTAATGCTCAGCAACACTCATTTGGCAGCTGAACATTTTTTTTTTTGAAGCAGCAGTTAACAATGCAATTCACAAAACAAAGATAAGCTCAATGGTTTCCAGGAAACTGAAAGATGAAAGAATGTGGAGAGAGTCAGCCATGGTTTCAAATGAAGAACAAGTGAACTAAGATCAAACTAAAACCTAAAAGAAATTCAGCAAGGGCCCAGAAACCACAGTATAGATACATTTCAGTTGGATTGAAATTTCACAATGCATTTCAACAATGCATACGATACATTCTTTGGCATATTAATGCACTGGGGACAATTTTTTCAAAATAAAAGAGGAACTCAGATTCCAAAGCCCTTGGTTTCATTACTTCAAGCATAATATTTAGCAGATTTTCTGGGGTTTATATTGATTGTAAAGTACATTAAAATCCTATATTCTAGCCTTGTTTTGTGTGCTCAGTCCCAGACTTAGCTGAAACCATGACGTTTCACAGCACCCATGAGTGAAGGTGTAGCGGAGGAATCCATAAATGTTAACATTTCAGAAGTCAGTACCCACTAAATAACCTGCTCCAGAAATATGATAAATGTATTCCTCTTCCTCGAAGAGAAGGTCAGAGTAAAGCTACCACTATACAAATCCATTTGAATAATGAATTTTGCAGTAGTGGAAGAAATACAGCATTTTACCACACACACACAAAGAAACTAATAAAGTTACCTCTATACCTACTGTAAGTTACTCCCTAACACACAGGACTCAATTCTGCTTAGTTAAACTATCCATAATTTCCACCTAGGACACAAAAACGAACACGCAAAAGAAACAACAATAACAGGAAGATATTTTATCTGAGGCTTTTTTAAAAATGCATTTTAAAAAGTAACATCTCAGACATTAAGTTTGTAAAATATTATATTTTAAAATTATGAAGCCCAGTATGACCATAACATTCCCAAGAGCTGACAAATCACCTCCTCTACTTACAGCAGAGAATTTATTTCCAATTCTACGCAGCAAATTACAGTAGTTTAGGAAAGAGGAAAGGAGAAATGTAAATGCACTGCAAATTTCAAATAGATAATTTAAGTAGCTAAGCTACAGAAATAGCTGAACATTAAAAGCCGCACACCTGCAATCTTGCCAAACTTGAGAGGCAAACTCTCACGACCTGTATTTTATGCCACCAAAATGACAAATGTTTTCACCAGCAGTAATATCCCCTAGAACCATGCCTAGGCATTCTTCCTCTGACACACAGTGAAGAGTGCCACCTATTGAACAGCAAACAGTATTTCCAGAACTAATTCAACTGTTCTGAGAACAGGCCATCTACGCACTTCCCCCTCCAACCCAAGCATTTACTTTCTCATCGTGCAGTTTCCTGGCAGAGAGCAGTTTTGCTGCTGACATTGTTACAGAATTGATGGACAAAAGATTACTTTGGTGTAGAAACAAGGTGTCCAATCCACACTGCGTAAGTTACCTGATTTTTAGACATTCCCACACCGAATAAGAAAAAATTTATTCAGTGTTGGATGAGAAGGAGAAACCATGCTTCTTTGTCCAATATTCTCTAGTGATAACTGTATTTTCCAGAAATAAGATTAGAAGGCATGAAGGACATGAAAATAAAAAAAAAAAAGCAGTATTTTCTGAAGGCTGTTCTCTGTTCACACAAAAAAGTGTACATTTTCTATCTATTTTACTGTTAGAAGGAAAAACCTACTTTGATTCAGAGTTGAATACTTCTTTATTTACACTGGCAACCAAAGTATCTTGCAGAGGATCTAATGCACAGGTATTTCATATCCACATGCTATGACCTGAGAGTCATGCTACAGAGCTGCAACAGATAAGAAGACACAGCATATCCCCCTGAAGAAGCCTTGCCAGGTGCTGCATAGCATGCAGCAATGCTGATTTGGCCACGAGTTACCCATTGACACAGAGAATATATTCTATGTTTATAAAGACTGCAAATTAACATGACGGTCCATCGATTTTGATTTCTAAATACACATGATCTAGCCAAGGAAAAATGTGTGGTATGTTGCAAGTCTGGGTGTAATGTGATACCAAACAACATTGCCATAAACCCAACCAAGACTTGGAGCTGACCCATTTATATACAAAACATCTGAATGAGTCAGCAGCCCACTGCCTTTCCCAGGCCTGCTGCAGACTATCACACAGTTCCCAGACGCACTTCCTCAGATTGTGTTTGCCTCATGAACAAGGTCAGTGGTGACAAAAAGTGATATAAAGGGCAATGACTGGGAAAAAATGACAACACACAGACTGTTTATATCTGTTTACTCATTAACCTATTCAACATACTGATGTTTGACAGAATTCTTCCAGTTATTTGCCTCCCATCTTTTAACTGTCTAACATAATAGAGCAGTGTCTTAAAATGTAGTTCTACTCTTGTTTAGGTGCTGTGAACAGGTAAGAGCTAAATACACTGCCCTGCTATAGCGGCACACACACAAGTTGTTGTTTTTCTCCAAACCAAAGACTGGACTGCATGTAGCTGTATCCAAATTGGCTTTAAACTGCTAGAAGTTCAATCATATTGGCTGTGCAGTTCCAGCAGCACCAGCGCAAACTCTGCATATGCAGATAGTGGCTGAAGTTTTTGCAACGGTAGAAACCGTGCTATCAGTAATTTATAATACACCACTGCGTTCACACTGCAATCTGGATCACAAAGCTTTTTATCCACGCTGGTGATTCCCTTTTGAGTGTGATACCACATAACTGCAACAGTATTTGTCCTAACTGATTACTGAAGAAGGTAAGCCTACTGCTAAATAAAGACATCCACAAGCCAAAGGGAGGCTACATTGGTTTTTGGTCTGACACCACAAACTCATATGTTAATGTTTTAATGACTACATGAAAAACACTAAGCTCAGCTACACAGAAGAAACAAATTTTCACAATGCAAAGCCATTAAAAGTTCCTAATTTTCCTTCAATGTAGTGATAATAAAGAAAGATTACTAACTGAGGAATGCATCAAAACTATTAATTCTTTTCCTTGAAGAACCAAAAAATCTGTGGAGACGGGGGAGATGGGTGACAGAAGGTCTCTAGTCCAACCTCTTGCTCAAAGCAACATCAGCTATCATATCCAATACCTTACAGCTGTGCCCAGGCAGGTCTGCAAAATTGTCAAAGATTGAGATTTTAGAGTCTCTCCATGCAACCTGCTTTCCATTCTTAACTACCACCAGAGGTATTTCTTTTTTTAATCCAGTTGGAACCTCCCCGTATCAGTTTATGAATATTGTCTCTTGTTTTCCCACCATGTTACTCAGTAAAGATACTACAGCTCTGTATTCTCTGCAACACTCTTTGCTATTGGAAAGCTACCATCATGACCACCTGAGCCAACTCTTCTCCGGGTTAAACTAACCAAGTCTCCTCAGCCTCACAGGTCGAGTGCTTTAGCCCCAGATCATCTTTGCTGAACTTGCTCAGGTGTGTCAACACCTTTCTTCACTGTGAAGCCCAAAACAGGGTGCAATACTCTAGACATAGTTTAATGAGTGCCAGGTAAAGGGGAGTAATTACTTCCCATCATCTACTGGCTATGCTTATGCTGTTACAGCAAAGTACACTGCCTCATCACATAGGGCATGCTGCTGGCTGGCATGGTCTATTGCCTACAGTGATGCCAGGGCTTGTACAGTCAGGCTCCACCTTGCACTGCTAAAGGGAGTTATTCCTCTCTAATGCAGAGCTCTGCATTTATTCCTGACAAATTTCATATGGTTTCTGTCAGCCCACTCCTCAGCCTTACTTCCAGTGAGTGGCAGCTTTGCCCTCCAGCTTACAGAGCAGATCTAGTCATTTCATCAAAGGCAGCAATCATGTTGGTCAAGCATGACTTACCCTTGGTAAATCCATGCTCACTATTTCCAGTCACCACTTTCTCCATTTGCACACCTTTTTTATGTTGATTACCTATACTGGTGCCTCTTGCTAATGTCCCAAAATACTTAAGAGTTTCCTAGTACAAATCCAGCTTCATCAGGTTACTCATGCCAGCTGTCACCTCACCTCAGTCTCTCATACACTACTACACTAATTTATCTTCTCCACATAGTATGTTCTGTGGAGAAACAAAAGCTTTCTCAAAGCAGAAAAATAACACTAAATAAAGATGTTAAAATCTTAAAAACATGCATACATATCTAGCTTTTAACCACTACTGCCAGCACAGTAATGCAGTAATGCTCTTTCAAGTAGTTTCATTCATTATTTCACCTGAGCAAGGCAAATCTTCAAGGTTTTGTACAAAGTTATAAAAAAAAAATAAAATTGAAAGATATTTTCTTCCTGTGCTCTTAAGAAGATCTATGAGAGATACAACATAAAAACAAATACCAACATTGGCTTGATAAACTCTAAATTTTTCAAACTTAGGGGGGGAAATATGACAAAAATAGGAGACTTACAGTTTTTCTCCCTAGGGATTTCAGCTGATGATGTATTTCTTTCAGACGATTTTGTTGATGGTGTTGTTCCTTTTTGTCTCGCAGAACCTTTTCACCTGGAACTGCTTCTAGGCTTCTGTTTGCATAAACCAGAGACTCCTGACAAATGGAAGAATAGGCAGGAATTAAACATATGAGTTTATATTGCTTCAATGCCAGACAAGTGTTCTGTTGATTTCTATCAGGAAAACATTGAAAGGCTTAGATAAAGGCACCAATTTCAAACTTGGGGAATGTGTAATTGTCATTAGCCACATTTTCTAATACAATAGATAAACAAACATAAGGCTGGGTTTATTTCAACATAAGAATTCTTCCCTTTTGCATTTTGAGAGGAATTTCTTAGTCTCAAGGGCTAATACTTTGATGCTTAAATTCTACTACGACAACAAAAACATGCTGAGAATTGGGGACACTGAATGATGGGTTCAAAGCTTGCTCCTGTGAACCATACTGGGATCAGAATTAGGCCAGAAGTAAAAGGAAGAACTGAACTAAAATCACTGCAAATTTTGTTTAGTAGATATCACGGTAAATAAGAAATAACCCTCTCTCCGTAACTTTGAGCTAGATGCACAACAATTATTAAAGATTTAGGTTACACTTTCTCACATTCTTCAGTAGCTTTGGACCAGATTCTGAAGTCTGCATCAGTCCTGAATATATTCAAGATTCAGTATTATATGTAATTTAGATCATTAAGAACAAGTACTGGCAAAACAGCAAAGTGATGTTGTAATTGGAAAAAAAACTAGAGCTGTCTCTTGCAAACCAAAAATACTATAGAACTCAAGGAATCCAAAAAATTATAGAGAAAAAAAAAATCCCTGTTAGTCAATTTAACCCAAAGGAACAGGAGCAGTCATTTCATAAAAACATACTCTATTCATTCTCATTTTCAGAAGCAGCTCAAGCAAACTTAATAAACACACACAAGGAAAAGAATTTCAAGTAGCGTGTCTAATTGGAAAGAAAACCAACCTTTGCAATTTAACATTCAGTGGAAATTTTCTCAGCTACAAAGTATAAAAAAATGGGAGCATCTGTAAACAGCTTTTTCTAAACATCAAACAAACCTACAAGTTCTGAAATTTAAATCAAACTATTATTTGCCTGAAAATAAACTTATTTTAACACAGCACAAATCTTTGAATATATATTTACAATCAGCAGTAGCTGGCAGGACCACAATGCTAGTAAATTTTCCAACCAAAGAGCTATGAACAGCACTATCTGCTCATGACTAGAATCTCTCCAGACTGGACTGAAGTTTAATGTGGGCCACCTGAAGTCAGATTCTTAACACTGAGTGTCTAAAACTAGGCTTCTAACCATGTCCAGCAATAGAGATACTGCCAAAATCACCTGTTTTGGTGAAGTGCAAGCATGGAGTATAGGTGTCAAAGAGTTCATTAACTGAAACATCACTGTATCTTCAGAAGTTTTTACCATGTTTAGTATTTATTTAGTTTTAAACTATTAACTGTAGTCTACAGCTACAACCAGAAAACAGAATATTTTTCTGATTAAAGAAACCCAATTAGGTATGAAAGAATTCATAAAGGTAATACACAACATCAGAGTAATTATAAAACAATCAAGCAGACAGATATTATTATTTCTTTAAACATTGTCTCCATTTCCTTTTATTTTCAGGTAGTTTTCCAAGCTTTTAACTGTACTCATCACATACAGTATTACACTTCATATTCTTCATCCTACCATTTTCCTGTCTCTTCCAGGATTTCATTCAACATATTTGCTCTTCCCCAAAAATATTAAGTAAGACAGAAGCATTTTTAAATATTTCATTAAGCTGGCAGCAGAACAAAGAAATGTTTCAGAGAGAAATACAGCTCTGATGAGAAACATTTCCATGTAAAAGAGAACATTAGTCATGGAAAAGCATTCTGAATCCAGCTGGACTCATTGCACAAAAAGATGAATCTGAATGCTGCTCTGTAACAGCTCAGTCATGGTGCCGTAGGATAATTAAAGCCAGTTGTTGAAGATTTCAGAGTCAGAGCATGGGTCCTATATCCTACCGAAGTATCTACCAGTGGCAGAGAGCAGCTCTCCCATTTACCCAGTGGTGAGGAAGTGTTGGCATTTTGGAAGTTTTACCTAATGCAGTTCCTGGAAGAATGTGCAGCTTTATGATATGCAACTCTAGGCTAAGTTTGTTTTAATTATTTCTAAAATTCTAAATGAAATCCCAAGCAGATGATTTGCACACTAACGTTTTTTCTCAATGTTCCCCATCACTAATGCATTATACTCTCGACCACAACGTACGAAATCCACATCTCGTCGATATCAGAAAGCTTTTCAGCACTGATTTTTAGAAGAAACATCAATGTCACTGAAATCAGCCTCTTCTCCAAAGGAAAGAGCACCCATGTTCCAAATCAGACTTGTGTCCCATAACAAGTAGACTTGTTCAAAATAAATTCTGTATGTTCAGAGGGTTTGTTTTAGCCCTCTCCTGGCACCTTAATTTAAAAAAATACTTAGGGGAAAAAACCCACACCCAAAACAAACAAACAAACAAACCTCAGACTTTAAAAAACACAAACTCCTAAGAAACAAACATTGCATTCAAATCTGCATTCCGCAGCACCTATGTCAACATCTTTACCTAGCAATGAAGTTTACTGAATTGCCATCAGTTAGGGGAGAAGTAGTGATGCAATTTAAGCTGAAACTCTGAATAAAAGAAATCAATATTAAATAATCTGAAACTTCAACTATACCAGATTATCACCGATGGTGTTAAATATTACAGATCTCCAGTTTAACCAATAAATATTTTGTCTCTCACAAGGTTTAGAGAATATGCATGAGGGTTAATAATAAGATAATTCCTGCATATTTAATTCACTCTATTAGTAAGTGAAATGTGTCCCACTTCTAACTAGCCAGAGGATAACAGCCTTCCAGTGCTGACAGCTAGTTTACTTCCTCATTTAAATGCACTGCAGTGCAACTAAGGCAGCCACCAGACACCCTGTCAGCTGCTGAGAGCAGCAGTGCTGGGTACGCAGAGACGCAGGAATGAAGGCACCTAGGGGGTTTTGGAGTCCACTGGGAAGGCACCTGGAAATCATGACACGTCTGGAATTAGCTAGCTGCAGAGTGGGATGGCTCGCTTTTGTTGTTTGTTTTATTGTGGTTTTTTTATTTAGTTTTGGATTTATGCAATGTGTCCTTCTAAGTCCATTTTTAAATAACTGAAGCTTCCTACTCCCTTCAACTTACTCTGTTTATCTCTTTCTCTAAATGTACAAAACCACTTCTAAATAGTCTCACGCTTTGGTAGGTTTCATGGAAATGGCTCACACGTTTAAGTTTATTTGAACAAAATTGAACCCTGTAACTGTTTCCCAGAACTACAATACCTAAAAACATTTTATATTCTGCAAAACAAAGTTGAAGGGTGGCTGCTTTTCAATAATGAAGGGTAATTTATGGAATTAACTCTCTCTTTTTGGTTAAGTTTAATATTACTCAAAAAGATAATGCATTACTCTTCAACAGCATACACATAAATGCAAGTTTCTATTAAAATACTTCCAAGCTTTTACCTGAAAAGGAAGCAACAGCAACCACTTGGACAAACGTTCCCAAACAAAGTGCTCATTAACACAGGCAGCCGCACTAACTTCAAGCTAATGTCTCATAGCAGCGAACACGGGATCACTGCAAGTGAAGAGCAAACCACCGGCAAGCTCAGGACCGTGAACCTGGAGTTACTGGGTAGCAACTGCATTTGCGCAAGTGATTACCCACTAGAGGGAGTCGCCGTTTCACACACTAAATCCCAGGTGGTAAATGGTCAGCACCAAAATGCCACTCCTCTGGAACTGTCAGCAATGGAAAATGCTAGTACAGGTTAAAAAAACATTCTGAAGCTCAGAAAGTAGTCAATATTTAAAAAATTATAATAAAGTGCTCTTTAGAAAAAAAAAATCCCACAGTTATGTTAGCCAAAGAGATGTTTCTCATACACTGGTAACTGAAAACATAGTTTTGCCGATGTACACTTACAGAGCTTCCAATATACCTGTTCTGGCTATAAACTCTAAATTTTACAGAAGTAAACAAGTTTTGTGCAAGTTAGTGCAAAGTAAGGTTTATGGTATTATAAGTTGTAATTCCCTCATTATATGAGGGGCAACACTACTGGACTATGAGATAAATTGGAGTCTTCTATGTACAAAATTCAATCATTTCTCAAGGCCGAGACCTCAAGGGTGCTTAATACCACTAGCAAAAAAAAAGAAAAAAACCAAACACAAAGGCCATTAAAAACAAGAGACAATTGCAATCGATTTTCTGCAGTCTTTAACATTGCTTGTCAGTAATCGCTTTCAGATCATAAATGAATGGGCACTTCAGGAATCCTAAAATAAGAAGAAACCTGATTCTAATCCCAAAGATTAATTATCATGGGTAATGTGCTACCATGCTGACAAAAACACCGGAGGCCCTCACACAGTTGAAAACATCTGAGTCACCAATTCCTGCAGGTGAAATTTCTTCTTGAAAGTGTGGAATCAACAAATCTTAAAAACAAGAAAGTCTTTGAATTATTTACCATTCAAAATAGCAACATTTTTTGGTCTGATTTCTATAGCCAAAGATTTCACCTCATTCTTTAACACATACACTTTGAGGACAAAGAGAAGTTAACTAAAGAAAAACACAAAAAATATAAATAAAGATGCATGTTGTATTTTCATGTACACCAGATCTCAACACACACTTCAAACAAGAAATTTGCAACCTAAGCTCTGTTCTGTAATATACCTGATAAATCTGGCTTGAAGGTTTAGAGCAAGACCTGAAAATTGCAGAAAAATCCCCGTCAGATAGCAGTACTTGAAGCTTAACATCTATCTCGTGTAGGTGATGAAATTCCATTGGTTCAGGTGTGCACCTTTCTCCTGGTGCTAGCCAGCCAGATACATCCTCCTGTTGAAAGATACAGAAAATATTTAATCCTTGTTCACAGAAAAAAACAGATTTTTAAGGCAGTTACACACTCAGTGTACTTATTTTTCACATAAACTGTACTTAAGACTAAAATGTAAATTATCATCCATCTCAGTATATAGCTGAAATGTGCCAACATTCATGTACCAAGCACATTCAAAAGCAGGTATGAACACAACAATTAGAGTCATATATTTTTCATTTTCTGAATATAACCAAGCAGCGACTTAAATGGACTTAAAAATATATCTATTTCATTTTATTTTTAGAAAGTACATGCATCTCCATGTATTGTTAAAATGTAACAGCAAAAAAGGTGTTGTGTTAACCTAAACAGACTTCTGCTATTATTTTACCTCTCTCTCTAGAAGTCCAAAGTGTGCATCCTCACTGACCAGCCACTCACACACCCTGAAATAAAGCTTCCAAGAATGTGCATCCATTCTTTCCAAGGTTGTACAACTCCCTTGAGCAACTTTTCTTTACAGCTAGGAGAAACACTTTGGACAGGTAAGCCCTTTTCCTTAAGGATAGGGGCAATGGGAGCAAGCGGGAGCATAGAAAGTGCCATGTGAACATAAGAAAAATCTTTTCCACTGTGAGGGTGCCAGAGCATGGCCCAGGCTGCCCAGAGAGGTTGTGGAGTCTCCTTCTCTGCAGACATTCAAAACCCCCCTGGCTGTGTTCCTGTGTGACCTGGTCTGGTGATCCTGCTCTGGCAGGGGCTGGACTGGATGAGCTTTTGAAGTCCCTTCCAACTCCTGACATTCTGTTTATTCTATGATCTCACTTTGTATCCTCTTAGCCCAGCTAGGGAAACCTTTAAAACAGTCTCATGCCATGCCAACCCATGCCTATTGTAGCTCCCTTCCATGGATGCAAACCCTTCCCTTGTTGCAGTTTCTATATTTGTTCAATAGAGCAGTCTCAGCTCCCTTTTGAAGGAATAATTGCTTGTCACAGTTGAAGTTGCACTCCTCTAAGTGCTGCACTAAGCATCACTTTGGGATGCCACTGACATGAAAATCAGTTTTACAAGTGGTGTACTCCTTTGCAAGATAGTGCAGAGGATAGAGATGAAGAAGAAAGTGTCTGGCAGACATAGATCCACCAGTCCTAAGACATAAAACACAAAGAACATGCTATAAGCTCACATTTTCAATGCTAATACTGAAGTGGAAAAGCACAGCCCTCAGAAACTGCACTAGAACCGTCTTCAACATCATCCCAAATCACTTGTTATGCCTCACATCTCAGCACTTCTTGTTCGCACACTTCTTCTGGAGACATCATGTTACAGTTTAAGTCCAAGGAACTGTACAGAGAGTTGACCATATAGCAAACTTGAGACAGCAAGATTTTTTTTTTGCTTTTAAGAAATAAAAATGCAAGTCAACAGGCATAAAAGTGAGATGTTCTCAACTACACTGAACACATCTTGTCAAACTGCCCCACGGATCTTGCATCTCAAAGTCTGGCAGCAAATGCAGAGACACATCTCTCCTGGTACAACTCAACCACACCTGCACAGCAGCACATTAGAAATCCAAATAAAGTGCAGCATAATACACTACTCTCTATCAACCTCTGAAGAAAATGGAAGCAACAGACTCCTGTGCAAGTCAAAGAAGAAAATACAATCAGCAGCTATGGCTAAAAGGACAACCACTTTCCACCCAATAAGGAGTCAAGAGAGAAACCCTGATCAAAACCAGGCTTGGAATGAAACTGCAGAGGTTGATGCTATGGCAGGAACCACTTAGAGCCAAATCTCAGAATAAAGGTATGAGATGTGACACTTGCAATGTATCGCCAAAGAAAACAAGGCTTCCACAGGAAAGCAAAGAAACTGCTCTGAGGTGAGCAGCTGCTGCCCTGCTAGAGCCCCAGTATGTTACCAGAGAAGCACTGGGAGAGAGAGCGCACAGAGTTCTTTTCCTGATCATGATTTACATGGCTTTTTCCTCTTGATAGCAGTAACACCTTACTTACCAATATGAATATGTGCTCCTAATACAGGCAGTTGCATATGATGAGTGAGCTTGACCCACTTAACCCAAACATACGAGCTCATATTCACAAACAGAAGTAGGTTCTCCACAGCAAAGTGGCACTCTCATGTCACCCTCAGGGAAGCAAGTCTGCACAACCACCACTCACTGGGAATGACACGAGCAGAATACATCTCTGTCCTGACCTAAAAGAAACACCATGTAGGACCTTAAAAGGGCAAGGCAGAGATGTGAAGGAGATGAGTATATTGCAGATATCCTTTCTTTTTCTTAACAGAAGAGGGCTAGCACTTTGCCCGGGGACTTAAGACTTCAACATCTGTCTTGCAAGGGATTCATATCCACCACTCCTTTACAGCTTCCAGATTGGTACTCTGGTTATTAAAGCAGCCACATCCACACAAGAGGAAGAAATATCAGCTTCCAATTACAATACCACTGCTATGAGGTCATCCCTGGTTCATCCCCATTTCCCTAAAGCACACTGCTTGTAAAAAGAAAAAACCATACCCCAAACACCTGTCACAAATTACCTCCATAATAAACTTTTTAAAAGAAAGAGTCATCCCTTTTGTGAAACAAAATCGGTCCTTCTAATGCTTTCTCATACAAGTACAATGACACAATGAGTAAGCCCGACCGGACATGACCTGACTCCAGAAGAGCCACTCAGAAATGTCTCTAGAAGCTTGCCAGCTTTGTGGAAGCATCTGTTCAGGTGAGACAGTGACCACAAAAACATAAGTATCCACCGAGGTACTATACTTGTGCTGTGTAAACCACCCCCCAAGCAGACACTGAAGAGCACTGTGCAAACACACAGCAATGACTCTACAGGAGTCAGTTATGCTGCAGCTGGGCTCATTAGCTACAGCTCAGTGTCTATACCCAATGTTCTCATATCCCATACTCCAAGCACCCAAATTATTTCAGTAGTTGCTTTACTCCAGGGTTAAATGGACTCACACATTCTCTTTTGTATTTTCAAGACAGCTTTGTTTGGAAAATAAGCTTCTGTCCTGCCAATGTTTCCTGTGTGTTAACTCAGAACAATACTTTTATAACAGGGCAGTCAGTGCTTATTACTGTGGGACATCTGAAACAAATTATACCCCTGCAGCTTTGACAATTAGATTAGCATGAATATGTACTTCTAAAATATTTTAAATGCTCATAAAACACCTACTTTTTTTAAAAAGTGAGAAGCGCTATTTGGACATTTGACATATTTAGTAGGACAAGTCAAAAGAAGTTATTTAAACCACATTACATTATACAGAGGGATTCATACACCATAGCCAGCTCTGCCTTCATTGATAACCTCTAAAACACTACTTTAGCCAATGTATTGCACCAGCTTTTTAAAAGTAAGATGAAAGTGGCCATCAGCTGGACAGTTACCTGGGCCAGCTTGAAGCAGTCTAGATTACTCATTAGCTGGTAATTTCCTCATGATCTTTGTTATAAAGCAGCCACAGGAAATGCCTCACCCATAATATAATTCAAATGTGGGAGAGGAAGAATCCATCTCCAGACTAGACAGGTTTAAGTAACTAAGTATTATCCTTTCTTTCATTCCACTTTGGCAGTAGATTTAGGAGCTGTTTTCTTTAAAGAGATTATCTAGTACAGACTAACCCACAAACAGCCATTCCCATTCTTGCCCACTGTATCAAGAAAACACAGCAAGACACATCCTGTGTAGGGATCCTTTTAATAGCTGATATAAATAGTAAAATCCCTATAGATACATGCCTACGTGATAGTGTCACATGCCAAATACAAAATTTGGATAAATTTTATACTTTTCCATTGCTAGACAGAATTCGCATTAGCTGTTCTGCATAAACACCTCTAAATTTTGTGAAGGACACTAGCTTAAAGAAAAAGAAAACCCAGTAACTAAGTATTGTGAGAGAACACTTTTGCAATAAGTAAAACAATGAATTCTAAAAAAAGCCACTATTCTTTGGGTCAGAAAGCTATGATGTTTACTAACAGAAGGCTGTTCAAACCTTCTTCACATCTGTAAATGCCGACGTTTATCAAAGGAAGGACCATCTCCTCAAACTGAAACATGTCCTGGTCAGGAAAGAAGAACAGAAGAGATGGTATTGTTAATCAAACACCGAAGTTTCTAGCAAGACGAGAAAAACAAACAAAAAACTTCCCCACAACCCTCTTCCTACAGTTTCTTCCTATTCAAAGGCTGGATGAAGTACTGTTCAGCTGAACGTTTTGTCACCTTTCCATGGCATTATGATGCCAAAGCTGTTGCAAGTGTATGTAACAGAATACGTTGGATCTTT